ATTACCAATATGACTGGATTTAACATAGCAAATTAGGTCTTTACAAGAACTAAGGCCAGTCCGAGCTTTTTCATTGATGAGTATAATTACCCTAATTGTTTGATGGGGTTTTTATTCCTACACAACCATGGGGTTTGAATCGATGCCCACAGATGTGAGTGACACTTTTTCTATCAAACTCATAATTGTTGACATGACTGACTTACACATGGCTGGGGATAAAAGTCAGGACACTGACAGTTAATCCATTCATTGTGTGGAAATTACTGATGCTGACACCACAGAAATATTCCAGCTGCTTTTCTGTATCATCTCTTATTGTACAAGTGAGGATGTAAAAACTGACATCTCAGAGAATTCCAGCTAGATGGGAAATCAGTCATTGACAATACGTATAAAGCACAGAAGAAGAAAGTAAAGGGAAAGTAAAGGGAAAACGACCCTGGGTTAAAAAGAGAGTTACTAGACTCTCTCAGCAGCATAGAAATTATCTTTGGTGGTAGGTCTACAGTTAAATTACACCTGAAGGATGATTCTGCTCTGTTTATTCTAGAGTGGATTCAGATTCTGCTTTTGATTTTTTTTCAACTTTTTTTTTTTTGCATTATGAAAGTATTCTCTTCCTCTTCCACAATGTTTTAGAGTCCACAGTGTGGACAATGTGCTACGCCTTCTCTAGACTTGATTCATCAAACCTCACTTCCTTCTAAACCTTCAAATCTCTGATGCACATATTTAGCAAGTATCTTCCACTCTTTTAATCCTTTAGGATTTTCAGTGCTGGCGTACAATACCCATTTCCTGGGATATGGCTCAAAACCAGTCAACACCTTATTCTCTTGATGTTCTGAAGATACTCCTCACTACCATAATACCCAAGTTCCATGTGATTATCTCAACAAAATCTCCAGAAGTCAAGACACACAGCTAAACTCTATCTGTGGATGGGGAATCAGAACACAGAAAAATGAAGCATTCTGAAACAGAACATTAGCCTTCAGTGAACGATGGACAGTTCACACTGCATTTAGTAAGAGGCAACATAAAATCGATAGCATGCACACAAAAAGCTATGACACAAAAGCTCCAAGCTCAGGATCAGACAGAATGCTCATTGGTGTGAAGAATGATTTTTTTCCCTATTTGAGTTTCAGGTTCATAGTATGTTGGGACTGGATAATCTTTTCCTCTATACACCATGCATGCGAAGCCTACAATCTGCTGACAGTTCTTACTGCCTAACGTTACTTTGGAAGGCTCTCACAACTAACCAGTACGATTGCTGTGCTGTCAGACTCGGTATTAGAGCGACACAGATGTCAAATTTCCCTTTTGACTACAACAGGTATTTCCCACCGCCTGAGTTTTGGAAAGCTTTACCAATACGCACGTTACCTTTCCATGCAGGTCAGATTCACTCCCTCCTTCAGCCTTTTTACATATCCATGTACTTTTCCAACCCATGTGCAGCAGTTGCTTCTTTTGCAAGGCCAGTATTTCACTTAATACATAAAAAAAACACTTCAATAAATGCATTTCTAATAATATAGTGATGAGTGGTACTGGAAACCTATTTAAATACTGAGAAGTTATTCTTTAATGCAGACTTGTATTTTCTTTTCCTTGGATAAAAATAAGGAAATTGGACAAACTGTTTGTCTGTCTTAGACACCATATTGTTGTTACCCACACCAATTGATGCTGAACATATTGAATACTAACAACCTCCAAAGAAAACACAGAGAAGTTTTCTAGAGGAGTTTTCTAGAATCAGAATAATGAGCAGCAGCCAATCCAGCCTGTGTACTTGCAGCCAAGACTAGAGCCAATTGTTACAGAAAGGACAGATCAGATACTGTGAAAAATCTCTCCATGACAAGGATACCTCTAGGACTTAGGACTATGAATGGGAAAAACCTTGATAAATAGCAGAAGGGAGGACTCTGCAAACAGGATGAAGAGAACTGCAGCAGGTAAAGGGACCACTTCCCTCCAAAATACCCCTGACAATGTTCCAATCAACACAGAAAATCGCATCAGACACTGACCCCTTCATAACTGTGAAGAAGACTGGAAAAAGAGCGAGGCAACCTCATAAGCACTATATTCACCATAATTCATCTTAACTTTCCCCGGATGCCCAAAAAATAAGTTCTAAAAAGCTAAGATCCGCATGTGTGTGTGTGTGTGTGTGTGCGCGCGTGCCTATATGCATGCACATACACAATCTACACGTATTACAAAAGGGAAATGATTTTACTTCAGCATCTATGTTAGCCTTTTCTGACCTTTTACTATCAAACATTTGTATCCAAGTTCAATGAAAGATAAAACCAACTCATGTACACATTTTCATTTCAGACATCTTCCAGTTCCTCTCTCTGCCCTTCTCAAAATGACACACTTCATGCACTTGGTAATGGCTTACAATATATAGTGCACACCATGCCATTTGCAAGTGCAGATACAGGAACAAGCATCTCAGATAGACAGCCAAGGCACAAATCACTTTTTTCTGGCCTGCTTATAGCCATGGTAAATAAAAACTTCCCCTTGTCTGTGGAATCCATTCAAAAACAAAAACATGAGTGGGAAGTCTTCATTTTATAAAAAATGCAACTGTAAGTTTTATTACTTTATGCCCCATTTTGAGCCCACACCCAGAACAACCTCTCGGTAAGATAAATATTACTACCAAAAAAAGCTCAAGTTGACAATTTCACCTCTGAAATTCAAAATAGGAAAACAAAGCTTCTTGTTGCAGAGTATCTTTTATTCCATCACTACATGCTATAGTGCTTTATAGCCAAAGCCCTTTCCTGAAACAAACTGAAACATTATTCTCACCAGGGGATCTTGTTTTCACTCTGAAAAAAACTTCCCAGATTTACCATGAAATCCCACCAGAGATCAACACAATGTGTGCCTGGAATAATAGCACACCACTTTTGCAATGAAAAGAAAAGAAACCATGCATTCCTACACTGCAAGGGAAAAAGAAGTTCTTCCTGGACAAGCTGTACAAGATGTCCAGACTTACATGTTGAGCATACTGGACCGCAGGTGTTCAATTGCTGGTATGTTCTCTGTACTTTAGTCTCTGGAGTTTATGTATACAAATCAAGAGTTGGGAAAGGAAAACTGTAATTAGCCGACTATTGCCAAACTTCACTGCTGATGGCTTAATTCAATCAGCATCTCTCAGTAAAACTAATTTTGTTAAGCAATTTTTTAGCATTTAAACCAGCTACTATTAAATGTACTTATATACACACACACACACATTTACTATATGCCCCAACAGACAATGCAACAGACAAGGCAAATAAAGGGCATTCCATAGCAATTGCTGCCTAAGAAAAGAAGAAGTGATTATTTGCCAAAGGAATACGCTCAGGGGAATTTCTTGACTTCCTTACTTCTAATGAGGTTTTTCAGGCAGTAGGAAAAAACAAATGGTTTTCCGACTTCTATCATAACTTATTTTGGAATGGGTCATGATTTTCTCACATTTTAATTGGTATTGCTGATTAATCACACATACTCTTAACATCATATACATCTGAAAGGCACCACTACTGAAAGAGAAATTTAATTTAATTTGAAAGTCATTTGTTACCTCTAGTAAGTGTGAAAAACTTAGAAGTTAAGCAGCTGAAGACCTTTGTACTGATTTCTTATTCATGATTTTTTTTTTTTTTCAAAGGAGCCTGGACTAGTTAGGCTATTTTTTAGAAGTGTTTTCCATTCTACTTGACTGTAACTCTGACTTTTTTGGTCCTCTGATCCAACAGCGAGAGCCGGAGTCTACATTTTTGCCTCTGGGAAAGCTGTTGCTGAAATCCATGGAGTGCAGTCTGCAGGTTCAGGCCCTTCAAATCTCCAGAGTGCTCAAGACAGAACTCTTTGCATTGCAAAGGCTGACACACTTGATTAATTTAGCCACTCTACACAATGCTGGCTTCAAAATCAATTCAGAAAGTACAGCTATGCAAATTGCCTAAATGAAATACGAATTATGACTTCTAACAACAGCAGTTCCATCTTTATTAGGGCACTGTAAAAAGCGAGAGAACTGCTTTTCTCCATGCTCATTTTATTTGATGTCACATGTTTTATATTCGCAATGAATGCTCAAGACATCAAGAGAGTCAAGAGAGACATCAAGTGGTAATTCTCTGTGTAAAGGCTTGGTCTGTGAAGTGGTAGCAATCAAAGACACACTTCCAGTCCTTTTGAAAACATGGATGTTACAAAGCTACAGGAACATTACCATCTGCGAAAGACAACACTGCTACTTAAGAGCAAGAGATGGACAGCTGCGGAGTTATCTTGTGACACCTCTTTCTAAGGACACAGAACACCACTAAGGAGAGCAACAGCCAGTCCAAAACATCTGCTATTTTTTTGCTATTATTAAAATGTCAGTACATCCTGTTTCCAAGCTCACAGTATGACAACACCTTCACTACAGACCTCCCTTCTCAAGACTCATTCTTTTGTAAGAAAATCCTTCTGGACTGAAATTCAGAAAACTAGATCTAGGTTGGAAAGGCAACCATGAGTAAATTTTACTTGGGGCATTATGAGAAAAGGAAAAATAAAGAAAAAGGAGTTTTGAATTCCATTGTCCCTACTTTCATCACAGTGCACTTTACAGTATTAGGCCCACAACAAAATACCGTTACATGCCTTCTGCTCATCTGGTGATGTACCCCTGGCTTTTAAAGTTGAAGGTTCTCAGTACAGCAATGAAACTTCAGTTGCAATAGTCCCTTACTGTTTCAAATTAATAGCAAGACAGCTACAGAAAGATCTGTGGTATCCACTAGAAACTGTCGCATGGTTAACATTCTCTTCTGTGACCTTTCCGTCCAGTGTATTGTAAATTAGAAAGGGATTTCTTGCATTCATCATTCCTCCTGTTCTTACCTTCAGAATAAGAATGAGAAACTATTTAAATAGCACACTGCACAGCAACTTCCTACAGTAATATTTACCTTTGCATATGTATGTAATATTCTCCCACGACTGATCTATTGTGCATTCTGAAAAATTCCTGTCTCCATTAAAATAATAACCTTCTTTACACTGATAGTACACTCTGCTCCACAGAGTGGTAGAGTTGTCCCAGGTCATTTCTGTGTGTGGAATCAGCAAAGGTTTGCCACAGTCTATTTCTGGAACAGAAAAAACAGGGCAACAAAACCTAAAAATGAAAACAGGCAAGGCATATCAAAGTGTTTAAGGAAGAGAGATTAATTGTCCCAGCAAGTAACACTTCACTTGTTTTCACTTCCTAGTGATTTCTAGAAATTAGGATAGCTCTTTAGAAACCAGAATTTTGTGACTGAAGACTTTCTGTCAGAGTGGGGCATTTATCGTTCACGATAAACCGTAAAATAAAAGTGTCCTGTTTAGAAATGGAGAACAAGGATCTCTTAAGCAAATTTTTACAAATGGATCTATCTTCCCACAACACTCTCTTATTCCCCACATGCTATTTATTCCTTTATTTTACCTATCATTAGTAACAATAGATCTGAAAAATGACACATGGTCCAAGGAGTGACATGGAAGAATAGCATCAAGAAGGTTATGTTCCTTTGCCAGTGGATTTAATTCAAACTTTGAAATAAAGGAGAAGCTGCTACAGACAAGCAGAAAAGCACTTCTGGGGGAAAATTAGATGGATTGTTCAGACTACTTTAGAGATCATTAGAAAGCTGAGGTAATGCAGTTATAAATTAATCTATTTGCTCAGTTGTTTTCAGGAGCTTCATAATAAAATTAGGAAACAAGAAAGAATAAAGAGCAAAGATCAAATCAATGGTAGAATATTATTTAGGGTTAAAATTCCCTTTCAAATCCACAATGAATGTTACAACCCAATAAAGGATTCTGCACCACTTCACTTGTAAGACATAAAAAATGTAAGAACTAAAACCTTACCTTCACTAAAGCTTATATGCAGAAAACAAGTGCTTTTAAAATTGTTTAATAAATAATCCTAAGTGATTCTGAAGTTCTACTCAAAGAAAGGAAAACAAAGAAGTAAAAAACAAAGTTTAAAGAATCATGATCTGTATAACCTTTGAAGAAAAAGTTAAACATATGTATTCCCATGGGCAATACATCCACCACCATTACTACTTTCTTTTTCATATCCCAATGTTTATGAATATACGTATCTATCATAAATCATCAGAACAAGCCTTAGAATAACTAATGCACAGGCTAAGAATATGCTTAACTTATAGAGGGACAGTTTGTGATGGGATACAAAAATTACAGCTGCTTGACTCCAGCTATCTGCCCATGGCCATCCTGTAATCAGACTGAAAAGCAGAAATACGTTTCTGTGTAACATAGCAAACCCTGAATTTAGGCTGATGACCTAGACTAAGAATATTAAAGAAGACTCTAAAAGTAGGGAGTGGTTGTGAAATATACATTTCACATGCAAAAAGATTAGTACATTTGATTGCAATGAACAGAAAGCTTGACCTTGCTGAGTCAAGCTGAAAAGATATCATCCAGTGAACAGAAAAGTGAAGTTGTGCCACTGTAAAAACTGACTAAAGACTGTAATTATCCTGAGATCACATTAATTAATAGTATGAGCTCAGAGTAAAAATACACTAGAAATTTTCTTGGGCAAAATACTTTTTTTTAATGAACCTTTGTGTTTCTTCTTATCAAGGAACTTGTTAGTTTACATTCTTCCAAATCATAGTAACATAAGGGACTTACGACTCACGTCAAATAACAATAGCATGCTTGAACAATCATAGTTTGCAACTGGTAACTGTCCAAATATGGGAATTTTAAGGGAATGCTAACTGCTAACAGTGATTCAATTTCTGAGTAGTGGCTTCAACCACAGAGTAGATATTGAGCTAGAAAAATGGCATCAATTTAGGCTGAATTTTCATCTCATGGTAATCCCAATGCCTGACACACACTGGGATTTTGTCCTAAGAATGTTAAAGTTTATTTAATAACTTTATAACTTTAATAATTAATAAATATCAATTTATTGCAACTTCATTAGCAACACAGATAAAATGGCTTTTGTTTTGTGACTGCAGTTCATATGCCAAGAGACTCTATAAACTGAATGCTCAAAAAGAATGCCTCCTACTGATGACTGCAATTTATTACAGTGGCCAAAACACTATCTATGCTAAATAAATCTGAAGGGAGATTTGCTTTACCTTTGCACACCAAATCAGTACCATCCCACTGTCCTTTAGCATTGCAGACTGCAGTCTGATTGCCACTTTCAATAAAGTAACCATGAAGACAATTGTAAGTAACTTCACTTCCGAAAGTGGTCCCACTTACAGATGCTGGGTGTGCATTTAAAATAGAAGGTGGAACCCCACAATCCACACCTAGGGAGAGGAAGAAAGAGGAAGATAAACTTGTTAGTTAAGCAACGGAAGTAATGACAGCTGCACTCCCATGAGTATTTCTTTCATCGTTATCAACTAACCCTCTTCTCCTGTGGTAATCCAACATTCCCTCATGTCCTCTGTGATGCCCCCACAATAACTGAGTGCTGTAGCTACTTCAGAGCTGCTTCCAAATAAAATGACTTCTCTCTGCCTTTCTCTCAGAATAGCACACTACATCTGTGACTCCCTCCTCAGCCTAGCTGCCTAGCTGTGTAACGAAAATGTTCTGGGTTTTTTTAATCTTTAAGATTCTCCTGCTTTTACAAATCTGGTCACAGATGGTAAGCTGGTTCTATACCATTTGCAGTGAGCAACAGTCAGAGGGAGGCAGACGAGCAGAAACTGCCTTTAGGAAGTGAAATTTTAAGAAGTGCAAAAGGACCAGAGAAATGTAAAACCATAGAAAAGGTTACGACATACAATACAAAAGCTTCCTGTTAAAGCAAGAGTCTACATGGTGTTCAAAATGCATTGTAACAGTTGCTCTATTCAAAAACATGTCAAGTTGTCATTTACAAATGCATAAAACAAAGAAATCAAGTAGCACAAGAAAACAATTTGTTTGATATGATGTCCATTTTCTAACGTAAGCAACCACCTAAAAGGGTTTCATGTTAGCATGACACAACACTCACCTCCAATAGTTTCACTACACCTCTTCACATAGATCACATCTTCCCATTAAACTATCTGGCTTTTCACCTCAAGACAATTCTTTTATTAATATTCAAGGAAAGCTATTTTCTTCAAAGGCACACTACATCCATATACTTATATTTAAATAAAAAAAAGGGATCTGCTCCACTTACAGTACCCTAATGTTATGTCACACATCTGACCAAGTTTGACCTACCTTCAATGACCAGTTTCATCATGACTACATAAAATAAAACTTCTAAATTACCACAGGAAGGAAGATAAAACACATGCTTACTGGTTTTCCTGAAAAAGAAGACATTACACTGGGCCAGGAGAACTTAAATTAGTGATAAAGACTTACCAGGGAAACTCTCAAGAGTTTAAAGAAAGGTGCCTTTACTAACATTAAAAAAAAAAAATCAGACTTGCTGGTTTCACAAAAAGACAAGCCCTAACTGATGTTCGATGTACTTTATTTCAATTACCCATGACAGATGTGCTCAGAAACTCTGACCTGACCTACTGTTTGATTGTAAAAACAAAAAAGACCACAAACAAACAAAAAAAAAATCACAAAAAAAAATCATTGAAAAATATTAATAAAAAACAAATGCACCAACAACTGACAAAGACTGCATTCCACAAGCTTTCTTTATGGACTTCTTGAGACTTTGGCCACTTCCTTTTTGTTTTCAAATCCACTGTCCTTTATTAGTTTTTTGGGAAAACTGTTATTTCAATTATTTTATTTTTTATACCATTATTTTAGTATTGTTTTATCTTTTCCTTCTTATGAATTTTCTAGTGATATTTAGAATATCACTTTTCCAGCCACACCGATTCAGCATCCTTACTCTAATTTATTCACTTCCCATAGACATATATACAAACATTACATTTCCACCCATTCTCAAAGGGAAGAAAAAAAAATAATAAGAAAACAGGAAAGAATTAGAAACCAAGAGGGCTCGTCTATTTTGAGAGAAGGAACTCTCCTCACTAAGTGATCATATTCAGGATGACAATTCTCCCCTGTAGAATTGTTATAGAGAGTGTAGCATCAGTTAGCTAGCACCTCAAGCGTCATTTAACTAATACACAGACTTTCTTAACTACTCACAGGAACACAAAATCCTGCACTTGTAAGCAGTAATATTTCAACAGAATGGGCAATTAGAACACTAAAGCAAGGGGAAGTTTCAAAGATGTTCTCAGGAAACTTAACACTTCAGAGATGTGAAAGCATACCCTCATGCACAAATGCTCTTAAAATCATGAAGGCCATCCAGAGATGGGGCATGGTATGATGCCTCTCTTTTGCATCTACAGTCAACCTTTGGAAAAAACTTCATAAGCTGCCAGAAAAATTGTTCTTTTCATGAGAGGTCACTGATGCCTTCCAGCTTGGTGGCCTTTCCCATGAAATGCTACAGAAATCTAGTTGTTTTCTAGGCCTTGGTTCACAAACAGAAGGACACATTGCAGTGTCTGTAAAAATGCAAGGACCAGCACTGAAAATGTCACCACACTAACAAGGAGAGGTGGCACAATTTTATAACCTGTCCCTTTCTTTTCTTCGTTTTTTGCAAGCAGATAGATCTTGAGAAGTTAACCTTCGGATTGAGGAAACAGTCTACTGCTCTTCGCAAACACACTTCCCCGTGCATAAACCCCCTTAGTGAAGAATTTAAGAAAGATTTAAGACTCTTTTCACCTTTACAGCTTAAAGTGGCAGGTTCCCAAGTTTCATTTGCAGTGCAATATGAGAACTTCCCCTCATTGCTGTAAAACCCTTCTTTACATTCATAATAAACCGTACTTCCTGGTAGCAAGCTGTAGTTCCCCACGATGTAGCCATGCTTCATTTCAGGAGGGGAACCACATCCAATTTCTGCAAAGAGATTAGGTTAAAAGATTTCACAGTACAAAAATCACAACACACCCCCACTTTAGAATGAGGTGAACTGGATGGTCACACCACAAAATACACCAAATATCTGAGGGGTCGCCAAAGGGGTAGAAGATTAGAGCTGAAGACTTGTACCAGCCACAGTCGGAGGAACACAGTGATCCACCTACTGAGACACATCTTTACTAATATATGGCTGCAGCCATTCACAACACTAAAGACAAGACACTGCAATGTGATGGTGCTTTGCATGCGCCAGTCTCGTTACAGCAATGGTTGAATGATCCTTCAACACCAGAGGAAAATTTCAGGCCCCAATGCATAGTTTTATTTCCCTGTGCATGGGAAAGATGAAGCACTGCAGATCAGCTGAAATGAAATAGTTTGCCCCTCAATTGCTCCATCTCACTGAACCAGACCGCATACCAGCTACGTTCCTTCAACACAGCTGCTCAATGGGGCTCCCTTCTCCGACTCCGCAAGCGACACTCTCAGTACAGACACACTACTTTACAACGGCATTTGGAGGGCTAAGTCGGTGAGATAAGCAGGGTTATCAGCAATTCTGGCAAAACAAAGCGGAGCACTCCAGTTCAAATAACTGGACGAACCACAGGCAGTGAGTTTTACTGACAATTCTTGCAGTAATTCAGAAATGAGAGCTGGATATAACCGAGGTAGTTCCTTCCACCTGAGATGCTTGGGTTCATTACATACTCCGACAGCTATGCTTACACTGCTAGCACTTTGCATCTGTGAAAACCTATGCTGGAGAGGAAAGGAGGAACGGTTTCAGAATGAATTTTTTTTTTCTTACAGCAAGATAAACAGAACAGTTTCTTTACGCAGGTGGCACAGTATGTGACAAATAACTAAACTATTCTTTGATTATTCCTCTCCCCTAGGCTTCTTCATTCATCTGACCTCTCTTACGAGCTATTTATTCTCTCTTCCCTTCCCCCTCAAGCAGAGTGATTATATAAGCAAGTGGATTATACCACACTTCTCTCCTATTCAGAAACTAACTACATCACCTTCATGGCATTATTAAGCTTCTTTGCCCCTGCACACCTGAACCACTGCTGAGAGCCTCTTGAAATCATATCCAGTGTCGACTCTACCATCCAGACATCACTGGAATGAACTAAAGCCAAGAAGAAAAAAATCATACAGCAGCTAAAGTCCACAGAGAGGGCTTCTACCCCACAGACTTAAATGCACAGGTCAGAGCAGGTACTACCACATCGTGTAAGATTCTATTTTATCTGCTAGCAAAAACAGCATCCAAAGACTCTCACCTTTGCATGAAACTATGTTCCCATCTGGATGAAAAGAACGCTCTCCATTTTCTAATTTATAACCATCATTGCAGTAACACTTGTAGCTTCCTTCAGTATTCACACATCTTGCATTGTGACCACACAGCCCAGACTCCTCACATTCATCTATATCTAAAAATTCAGAGAAAAATATATGCACTTTGTAATAGGTTGGGGGTTTTTTTAATTAATTAATGCAGGACCCAAGCTTAAAACAAACACAGCATTCCATGAAGGGTTCTATGCAGCTTCTGACAGCTCTTCTGGGAAACAAAGGACTTTATCATTACCTGCTGTTCAAGTATCTCGAAGGAGGAGACTCTCAATTTTGTAGCTAGCTATCTATTACATTGTTTCTGTTTTACCGGACAGTTTCCAATGTTATCTCCTTCTACAACAATCCCAGAAAAATCCCATATCTGCAAATATCTTAGTCAATTACAACAGTTCATTACTGTAACAAGGAACTGGCTAATATTATACACTAAACACAAATATGACATTCTGAGGGAAAGATAAGTATCTTCTTATTTTCTTTAATCTAGCTGCTTCTTCTGGAAAGATTATTGCTTGAACGAGACTGTGAAGCAATCACTTATAACACAGCAAAGAATGCAAAATGGAAATCATAGCTGTTAGAACCTAGATGTGCAGTAAGTGTCTGCATCCACAGCAGAAAGTTCTCTTGATATAGTTTCAGAAAGTAAATTCTGAAGTGATGGGGAAAAAAAGATTTGTGCAGTAGAAAATTAAGTGTGGATTCCTGGTGCTCAAGATTCCTTGTGATGCATACCAGTACAGTTCGTGCCATCATTGGGAATAAATGTCTTGTTGTTGTTGGAGGCTCGGTATCCATCAAGGCAAAGACAGTAAAAGCTTCCGTGTGTATTGTGACACAGTGTATGATTTCCACAGATCTTGCTGGCTCCAATCTGGCATTCATCTTTATCTGTCAGCACATTTAAAACACATCAGAGAGAGATTAAGAAGAGCAGAGTATCCTCCCCTCCTCACCAGTTCTTGTGTAAACAGATTTCCCCCTACTAGTTTTCTTTTTAAGTTATTTGGGATGTAAACACTACTAGTAAGCTGGACTGTTTAGATCAACAGAGGTTGCCATCCCTGAATGAAACTGGCCCTGCTTTCTGCTTCTGCTCTTCTTTGTAGCAGGCATTGGTTGAAGCACTTGGTCGAGCTTGTGCTGATCTTAGCCAACTCACTCAATTGGCAGTGAATTAACAGGGCAAAACATGCAGCTTCTCTTCTCCTACAATAAGGAGATAGCTGAACTCTGTGCAGGGCCCAGTGGGTGCAACTACTTGTGAAAGCAGGGGAGCAGATGGAGTGTAAGAGTTCAGAAGTGGAGGATCTTCCCTTTTAAGCAGTGTAAGCTATTACTTACACTCAGACACAGCATTTGATGTCATCCTTTCATTCACGTACTGATTTGTCATGTATGAGATAGTATTAAAAGGACACTATCAGCTACAGTAATAAAACAATGCTCAACAACACTTTTCATGTAATAGACATTTGCACTTAAGGTATCTGTGTATATATGCAAATTATTATGAAGAACAGACCTTCAACTTATAAAACGTTACACAGTAATCTGAGATAACTGGAAAAATCAGCAAAAATGTGCTAATTGTCAGTTTTATTGTCTAGTTTTCAGTTCAACAACGCACAGGTTGAAAAGAATAATAATGCTGGGGGAGTGGTACCTCAATCCATCCCAGTCCTACCAGTTGGATGCCAGTG